AAACAATATCTTAACGTCTCCATAAGTAGATATAGACAGTCGGGAAACTTTGACCAAGTATTATAAATTAGTGATACATATCCATTCTTATTTAATAATCAGGATTTCCTATGCACCAGCTAACACCACACCTTCATGTCTGTTAGTATCTGAAATTTTATTATTTGACATAATTTCAAAATTATTGTGTTTAGGATTAGAGTTTACCTGAAGCAGGGTGTCGAACTTGGTCGAAACTGCCGACTGTCTATATCGTTTTATAGAGACGTTAAGAAATGTTTTACAACTGTTTACCCACACACATACACACTGTGTTTAAAGTATTTAACAAAGGTAGATCAATATTTGTAATTAAAAGTCAATCTGAACGAAGAATATTCTTTTCAATAATTTCTCTTCAGGTTCTTACAATTATAAAATATAATATTTGTTGTCGTTACAATAAAGGCCAGTTGTGCGGTGGATAAATTTTTAACGTGGTATTCCACGTTAGTTTTCAGGTAACAAAATTAATAGTGTTTACGTGACAAACGTGCTAAGCTGAAATCGGTTACAAAATATTGTATAGAATGTGAGACAATGGTGGTGATTAGTCATAGTAGATTCGTAGAATAAGGGTAGAAAAAACTGACAAGTCAGATCAAAGTTATAAAAGGTGTCAGGTGAGTGGCTAGTACAAAGTGGTCTGTGTTAAACAGGAGATGGCATCAATATTTGTAAGTCCGAGGTCAAATTTTGTTCACAGTTCATAAAATTTTGTTTATTATACATGTTGATGTCTGTTTCATGACTCATGATTGGACAAAGTTTCAAAAACAAAAGATGTTCCTTTTATATATAAACCTCTGTTGTTATGTTAACTTCGATTAATTTCGCTGAAGAAGTTCGGACCAGATTGCTGAATAGAGGGAACGTTGGAATTACTCATTTCAATCTCCATGAGGTTTTACAAATATAATTTTTTACAAACATATATTACTGATTGAATTGAATTCTTGATTTTCTCGTCGATTGATTGGATCGAAGTGCTCGGTCTCAGGTTGACATGTCGGCTTCTTGTGCAGATGCTTCGACGATGCCTGGGGATTTGATTTGTATACAATTGGTGGATGGTGGCTAGCAGTGGAATCCAGGATGCGCATTTCGTCCTAATTGGGACTCGTCAGCCAGTGGATGTACCTGCATTTCTCAGTGAGTGATGATGTTCCCACCGAGGCTCGAACCCAGTGCCCATAGTTTCAAACGCCAAAGCGTTATCTACTAGACCACTTGGGCCACCAATTGTATACAAATCAAATCCCCAGACATCGTCGAAGCATCTGCACAAGAAGCCGACATGTCAACCTGAGACCGAGCACTTCGGGCCAATCAATCGACGGGAAAATCAAGAATTCAATTCAATAATTAATATGACCCGTTGCACAAGAAATAGGTGACTCTCGTGGCCCAAGTGGTCTAGTGGATAACGCTTTGGCGTTTGAAACTATGGGCACTGGGTTCGAACCTTGGTGGTGGGAACATCATCACTCACTGAGAAATGCAGGTACATCCACCGGCTGACGAGTCCCAATTAGGACGAAATGCGCATCCTGGATTCCACTGCCAGCCACCATCCACCAATTGTATATATTACTGATGATATTTATTTGAGTCTCCTTTAACCTCATTATAAATGAGTTGAATTAAGTAACCAGTTGACTGGAAGTTAATCATTGTCACACTAAGTAATGAACTTCTTCATGTCAGTTGCTCAAGTCACAATACTCTGCCTCACTGAGATTCACACCCAATATAGTGTATTTACGCGACAGCCTAATTATATATATATATATACATATATATATGTTCACATGCGTATAACAGATTCTTGACACGAAAATTCATTAAAGTAACATCCTAGTCACAAGATTAGGTTGTTGAACAATTAAGCCTGTTGAATGTATGCTTCCGTATTTCCACGACTATATCAAAGCCAAAATGTTCTCTCAAAACTAAACCTAAATAAATAGCTCTTATTCACTTAGTTCACTGAGTGACATCCGTGGTACAGTGGTTAGGATGCTCGCTGACCATGCATATGGTCCGGGGTTCGATCCCCGGCCACTGACGCACTCCTTTACCTCGCTAAGCCAGAAATAAAAAGCTAGTAGAGAGGAATGGTTGAGTATGAGACTAGCAACCGCATCCTGTAAAAATAAACACCACTGCCACAGAAACTTTAAGCCGCTAGCTTGAAGCCCTATGTTCCACTGGGAACGTGATGAAACAAAGAAACTGATTGGCGACCTAAGGAGAGATGAACAGCGCGATCTCAGAAGGACTGGAACGAACTGTAGCTACTAAAACCGACATTTGTGGCCTCAACCTGGAGAAATAATCTTCGCGTTCTACTGTATAGCTAACAAAAAACTTCCTTGAGTGATGCACTTTCCCAAGGTGCCATGACAAGTGCAAAAAGAAAGTTATTTGCGATGATATGTATGGTAATATTTAGCTATAATAACACATCAATAACTCAATTTTAACTCAGGAATGCCGTTAGGCAGATGTACAGGTGAGAGAATTCTCTAGCAGGAAACAAGTATTGAACAACAAAATTATTTAACTATAAACCAATCGTAAGCAGTACTTGAGAATCAAGTGAAATATTCCCAACAAGATGGTACCACCTCCAAGCCAAGTCTTCTCTTATCAGTCCTAACCACATACTGAAGTGGAAGAGAAGTAGTTTTGTGATTTTTATGGTAAGACTATTTGAGATAGCCATAGGTTAGTAGATTATTGATGCTATCTTAGTTGTTATTATAATAAGTGATAAGTGCAAATGAAATGAAATTCTGGAAGGTAGCTTAGCTAATTGTCGCGTCACACAACCCAGCTGGTATAGCAACCGAATGGTAATTTATAGGCCACTGATTCGATTTTCCTCCAACGATTCATACTTTCATTTGGAAACCAGTACATCATCACCCAGTTCACCAGTAGGAGCCTGCTAATTCAAAGTTATCTAGAATGGTATCATCATCAATTAGTCTACTTGTTTTGAGAATAATAATAATCTACTTTATTCCAAAACGGACAGTACTTATAATAGAGAATGGAATTCTCAGCATTTGTCACAATATTCCATCTGATTTACTTAAAATATAAATAAAATTAAAACAAAAGTAACCAGAGGAATTTGTCCGCATTTACGATATAAAGTCAGATGTATTCAAAGTACGAAATGAAAATATTAAATGCTGTTATAATAATAATGATAATAACAATGAGTTTGTTTCAAACAGTATTGATTTTCTTAACACACTGGGAAATAATTTATAATGAGTATTGTCGATTCAGTTTGGAAATTTTTAGCATGTTACTATAGAGTATTGAATCTAATGTTCGGTTGATATAGTATGGTGAGAGGAAATACAAAATTAACAGTTATAACACAGCTTGAATGATATTCACACTTATGGAAAAATTAACAAGTAAAAACAAAAAGAATTGAGGGGACTATAAATATAAGAAGTACAATAGCAATAAAGGTTGGTGTTGTAAGGGTGGAGGAAATGGTTTATTTAGTAGTACAAAGAAGGTTAGCCAGTTCATGTCTAACACAATTTTCATCACACAAAATACGTGCCAAATATGATATAGTGGAATTTTTATACTTAGACGTATGTGCACAAAGTCTTCCGAAAAGACTTCTTGTTTTACTTGAGGAGACACAAGGTTGGATCTTCGGGTGCTGTGGTGGGTGCTCAGTCTGACAAAATTCCTTTAGCAAATTTGTTGCATGACATCAAGTGCCTATCAATGACAATGTCAACGATATGGTCCAATGGGATACCACTCGTCCTACTGAAACTCTTCAGAGTTCTGCGAAGTATGACATAGTCTTTTTTAAGCAATCCAGGAAAAAATAAGGGTGAACAGTAAAGAAGAATAGGTAAGATGCACGAGTTGACAAAATTTAAGAGAAGGGGTTTGGTTATGCCTGGGTGCCTCAACCTCTTAATGTAAAAAGTCAAACGAAATATTCTTTTAGAAATCGCTAAGACATGGGAAGACCAGGATAGGTCAGTAGAAAGAATTAATTCGAGATACTTAACTTCAGACTTGATTTCTAGATCACTATCATCAATTTTGCAACGGTCATAGGAACCAACAGCTTCATTTAACTTTAATTAACATCGAAACTGAAATTAGCAGTCTGACATTTGGAAGGATTTAGTTTAAGGCCGTTAAACGAAAACCATTTACTTATTCCGATGGAAAGCTGTTCATCTTAGTACAGTCTAGCTGCGAGTTAACGGACATTGAAACAGTTTAGAACGTCGGCATACTTAACAAAGTTCATTTTACCAGAGTGTCTATATTAAAACTCTTTCATCACGTTGGTTACGCTTATCAGTAAAATCTGAACCAGCAAACATTCTATACATATCACTAGACTCAATCTAGTAGAGATTCGTACTTCTCTTTATTCCCAGTGGAACTTAAGGCTTGAATTTTAGGTAGCGGTGTTGTTTTCTTATTGAGAGAGGTCACTAGCCTCACTCCAAAGCTTACATTTTCACCGGACCAACTTACTACTGGCTAAAGGAGATGAAGGAACGAATCGGCAGGGAATCGAACCCTGTGCCACATGGTCGGTTGGCGAGCATCCTGCCACAAAACTACTGACTCACATTGTAGGAGAAAATCACTTGTAACATTTTTTTTACCTGGTGATCGTCCTATGTATTAACCACGGTATGCTTAGAAATAAACAACTCTGTTTTTATAAGATTTCATTTCCGGTTAATTTCGTCTTATATACTGAGTCACTAGTCAGCTTTAGATCAATTTTCACTTCTTGGTTTGAAGAGATTTGACTGGTTCTAAGTTAAACAATATGGCTATCCAGTACTTCTTGGTTTTTAGTGGTTGTCTGAGTGATGAAAGTTTGTGATCTAGCCTGAAAGTTTAAATTTGTGTAAATAAATATATATATTCTCCCAATTATTTAGAGATAACACGAAACAGTAGTTTATCAGACAATGAACGTCAATTTCAAGTATCCGATCAACATCAACAATCACAATATCCTTATCAGAATATACGTGGACCAATTCGGCCAATTCGATCACGTTTTATGGATACCAGACGACATGGTTCACATGATCCTCAAACACTACATCATGATCCAGCATATTCACGACAAATGATCCCAGCTGATGCAACTTCTGCATCAGGATCAAAAAGATCTCTTTATCATAATATGCCATCATTACCAAATAATCAACATGAGCATAAATTGTCTTTAAATCAAGTCAATACTAAAGGTTACCGATCAGGGGATCAAGGATATGATCCTGCATTAGTGAAAAGTGGTAACCTCAGACAGCCTGTTGGAGCACCACATCATCAACAACAACAACAACAGCAATTATCATCACAGTATTCAAGGTCTGGGAAGACATTTACACAAGATGAACAACAATATAACTTGATACAAAGACGTAAGAAATCTTTTTTTATTTAACCCAAACATTTTGTAATCTACATTTTTTCTAGTAGATTAGAGTGAAGCGTTTAATCAGCCTATTGAAATACCAGTCAGGGTGGTTTTATTAACTTTATTTGAGTTACAGATAATAAGGTGTAATATACTGTGACTGAACAAAGTAAAGGAATAGTAATTAATAATTAGTCTCAACTGTAACGAGTGAAAACCAGTGAACCAGTGAATCCAAGTGGGTGCGTACTGCCGATGATTCCCAAACTAGGATGAAACAGCACTTGTCCAGTACTCCATGGCTGGTTTTCGATGGTTCTTTAACTGATATCAATCCGTGATCAACTTGTAGAAACATAACTAACCCTTACAAACCAAACTGAAGTAAACCATTGAATTTGTTAACAGTTATACTGAAGGAGTGGAGATGCGTTGAGCATACGCTGAGGAGACACACGCCATACTCTAGAATGGAAGCGGATAGGGTAGTGATGGGTCGGATATCCTAAGGTGAGATGGATAAAATCATGTGAGGAGAAAATCAAAGCTTGAAGGCAGTTTTGAAGCCAAACGAAGGTGACTGTAGAAGACGGAATGCAATAGAGGTGTGACTCTGGAGCCCTAATATCCTATATGCACTTTTGGAAGTTCCCAAACTAGACAGAAACATCTGTCTAGTACTTCCCGGTTTTCCAATGGTCGCCTGATTGATTTCAGTTTGTGATCAAACTTCAAATCATTCTCAAAAGTTTATTTGTTAAGATCGCGTATTGATAACAGTACTCCCAGGTTTTCAGTGATACTCTAACTGACATCAATCTGTGATCAAAACTAAGACCATCCTATTTGAGTAACAGCTCATAATGATAAAAATAATGAAGACCGTTAAATAACATTCGTATAAATGCCTTTAGCGTTATATTATTCCAATTGTGAACCACTCACCTATAAGAATCTTTCTTTGCGGTATTGGTTTTGTAGGGATTTTGTTTGATTGGATCGAGGATTTCATCATGAGCTGACATCAGTTACAGAACCTCTGGATAACCTGGGAGTACTGGACAGTTGTTTTGTCCTAGTTTGGCGCTCTTCATCAGTACGCATCCAGTGGCTCAATGGTCTACGAGGTCGCCTTGTAACCATAAGGTCCTGGGTTCGAACCCTTGTGGTGTGTGAGTACTGATGAAGAGTTCCTAACTCAGATGGGATAAACAGCTGTCCAGTACTCCCAGTTGGTTTTACAGTGGTTCTCTAACTGATGTCAGCTCATGATGAAATCGTCCACACAATCTTCTTTTGCTCAAATAATAAAAAATAATTCAGCTCTGTATTATTTGAGTAGATACGACCCTTAGGTTCCGTGATTCCACGTTTATATGGTCTGCAGAAAGTGCACAAAGAGAACATACCACTACGTCCAGTCTTGGATATGACAAATTCCTCATATCTTGATACTGCTAAATGGCTCGAAGACATCCTCCTACGTATAAGAAATAATGTAAACTGTAATTCTTCGCCGTTTAACTAAATTATTCTCTGAATATATTCCTGGAGATTTCGTAGTTTAGTTTATCTTTATGGTCATCATGATGAGGGTTGATTTAATGCATACTTCGACGTATTCTTAATTAACAAGAAACTACAAACAAAATTTGACTGAAAGAAGAGAAACAATCCCGACTATAATTTGTATTCACATCCCATGCAGCAGTTGACTGAATTAAAGAACTCAAGAAATTCTCCAGAGTTGGTTTGTAAGGATTAAATTTGTTTTTACGAGTTTGACGACGGGTGGATTTCAGTTGGAGAACCATTAAAAACCAGCCATGGAGTAGTGGACAGATGTTTCATCCTAGTTTGGGAATTCTCGGCAGTACACACTCACCATCAACAGGGTTCGAACCCAGGTGCTTCCGGTTACAAGACAAGCTGGCTTGTATACTATTCAGCAACTGAGACCCGATTCAATGGCCAACTCATGAATTCTAACTGCTAACAATACGTGATTTAGCGTGACCCCAACCAGTGTCGTCGGTGGGACATCCATCTTCACACGTGACTGGATGAATCTCACTGGTCATGACTTCTCACTACAGAAATTTAATCTGATGCCCGCTAGTGACTTGCTACATCATTGAGTTTCCTAGAGTTCTAGTGAGAAGTCATGACCAGTGAGATTCATCCAGTCACGTGTGAAGATGGATGTCCCACCGACGACACTGGTTGGGGTCACGCTAAATCACGTATTGTTAGCAGTTAGAATTCATGAGTTGGCCATTGAATCCGGTCTCAGTTGCTGAATTGTATACAAGCCAGCTTGTCTTGTAACCGGAAGCACCTGGGTTCTAACCCTGTTGATGGTGAGTGTGTACTGCCGAGAATTCCCAAACTAGGATGAAACATCTGTCCACTACTCCCATGGCTGGCTTTCAATGATTCTCTAACTGATATCAGTCCGTGGTAAAACTTGTAAGCACTCAAGAAATGTAATATTATGATAACTCTTCACATCAAAGTCTAACATCCGTCTTTATTCCGTGTTTACAATTACTCAGTTGTTATTTATCTGCATATTCATTTGCAACTGCACAAACATGGTTCATTAAATTTTCTTGGTTGTATGAGCTAAAGGCAATAGGTTTTTAAATAACATTGATCGATATTTAATCAGGTCTAGATAACTAGATAGCTGCCTGATCTCCAAAAGTGGTCTATCCAACCATTCAGAAACCCCGATTCTCATTATTTACGTTATTCATAGCCATTTGGAAAGAGATTTTCAGTTTTCCTACAAGAAGGTTGGGGGAGCGAGAATGGCCACTAACCCTGCCAATCGCCTAGGTTCGATTTCACGCCAACACACACTCGCAAACCTCACCTAGCGGGCAGTAAGCCATGCAAAAAGGGCAGGCTGGAAGTGAGGCTAACAACCCCATAGCTACTGAAACTTCAAAGCTCACGCATAAATTCCTACATTTCACCAGGAAAGCAAAGGCATAGAAGAAATTTTAACACAATCTTACAAATCTTATTTTCTGTATTTGTCATTATCAATAACCTATTCTCCGGTAAATTCAAGAATGATTAATTTTTTCACCTTAGATTCTAATGAAGACTATCCAGTTCGAATGATGCCTGGTGAATCTAAACCAATCCAAGTTGTAGTCGCACTGTATGATTATGATCCAGCTACTATGTCACCAAATATTGACGGTGTACAAGAGGAATTACCATTTAGAGAAGGTCAACTAATTAAGGTAAGTTAGTTAGTTACTTATTGAGGTGCAATCGTATTTCATAAGAATCACTTTCAGATTATTGTATTAGGAATACTTACACCTAAAAGGTTATTTACTTAACTAGAAATATTCGCATGACAACATGATAAGGCCTCAAACTAGATCCTTGAGGCTTCACTTGCATTAGTGTTTAATAATAATAATAATAATAATAATAATAACAGCTTTATTCCAAACGGTATTTGTGGTACAGGTGTGGAATTTTCAGCGTGCATTACAGTACATTGCATCTAATTACCTCATAAATTTTATAAGATTTTTAAAATCAAAGATAAATAAATAGAAATAAATAAAAATAAAAAAACAGCGTAGAGTTTACATTTCAAACATTGCACCACAGGATATGAAATATAAAGTTGATGTGTAATAGAAGATGAGAACAACAGTTTAATAGTAACGAAGAAAGGAAAACAAAAACTAATGGGACTATCTGTTAGAGTGCCGCAGTAAGTTTATCGTGTCATACCTAACGGATTTCTCATCACATAACAGCTGGGCCAGATATGGTATTGTGGAGTTTTTGTACTTGGTGGTAGTCCTAGCATATAGCCGCCTATAGCTGCTTCTAGTTCTACCAGATGAAGTACAAGGAGACATCTGCGTACAGAGAGGATGTTCCGGGTCTGACAATATACTATTCGCTAGTTTCTTACATGATATAATATGTCTGTCTACAATAGTGTTAACCAGTTGGTTTAACGATATCCCACTTGCCCTACTAACGGCTTTTAGTGCCCTTCTCAGCGAAGCAAAGTCTTTCTTAAGTAGTCCAGGAAAGATTAATGGGGAGCAGTAAAGAGGGATGGGTAGAATACAAGAATTTACAAACTGAGAAAGCAAAGACTGCTTTATGATAGACTGCCTACATTTCCCAATGTAGAACGTTAAGCGAAACATCTTTCTAGTAACTAGCAAGATATGGGAAGACCAGGAAAGATCGGCAGAAAAACTCAGCCCAAGGTACTTGACATTAGATGTATTTTCAACCTCTGTGCCGTCAATGATAGTGGGGCCATGTAAGCTAACTAGTTGCTGTAGGTCACATTTACGTCTGAAAGTGAAATTGACTACCTGACATTTAGACGGATTAAGCGTAAGTCCGTTTGAAGAGGATCACTGACCAATTTCCTACAGAAGGTTATTTAATTTGTAACAATCTGACTGAGAGCTGACAGGCATAGAAACCGAGAGGTCATCGGTATACTTAACAAAAGTGGCTACATCAGAATGAGGCAAGTCATGTAAGAAAAACGAAAACAGAAAGAGAGAAAGAACAGCACCTTGAGGAACACCAGCTAAAGTCAGTGAGGTAGTGCAGTACTTTCCATTGTAGACGGTGTACTGCTTCCTATCAGAAAAATAGGAATGCAACCACTTATTTTTTTAATAGGGTGGGGTTGCTAGCCTTGCGACCAGCCTTCCCTCTTTACCAGAATAACTACTGGCTTATAGAGGTATAAGAGGGCGTCGACTGAGGACTGAAACCTGGACCAGGCGCATGTTTGGCAAGCATCCTACCTGTGAACCATAGACGTATAACAACGTAACAGTTGGGATTCTATTTCTTGCTAAACTATCACCAAAAGACATTTTAGTCGAGTCTCATAAACCGTCAATGTCCAGCTCTTGCTACGCTGGGCCTCACGCTGTCCCCTGAAGATTTTCAGAAACGCTTAGTATTAACCGACGCGAAAACCAAAATACTGTTTGGCGACTCAAGAATCCTTTATTCTAACGCCAACATATAACCAACAATACTGTTATTACAGAGGTTTCTGATAGTTTTTAATCTTCCTTCTGAACAGCAACCGATGAGACGATGACATGGATTGATGACTCCGTAAAAAATATGGGGAAGTTGGGTTTGAGCAAACAATCATGAATTGATCGTTCAATCTTCAACTACATTGACAAGACAGATGTACAATACCATTCCTTTTAATTCAACTAACAGGTTAATATGTTATCGCACCATCATTGTAGACATCTTCCGGTCTGCTATTCGGTAATTAGAAGGTAGTTTGAAAGATGACATTCCTTCAACTTGTACTCATTCAAAGTTAAAAGGTAAAAAGTGTTTGCTCTGCATCATTGATAACAGAAACTGAAAGAACACGGCGTGAATAGGTGGTCCAAGTTTGAATGCTTGTCATTCACTCACTTAGTCAGCAATGGATTCCTACCCGGCGCAGTGCTAAAACGCGTCTGGATTTGTTAGCCTGGATAGAAGAGATAAGGTTAAGCGTTAGGCTAGACGCTCCACCATATAAAAATAGCGTCACTGCTACTGAAAATTCAAACAAGCTTGATGCTTAATGTTCCACTTGAAACTTGAGGAATGGAGAAATAAACTTCAGGCAAATTAAATGTTTCTTGTCGTATTATTAACAAGAATTAATGATAATTTCAGACAAATAAATTATCCATATTCTCCATCGTTTGATGCGTGATTACTCATTTGACATGAAAAAAAAGATGAAATTTAGAAGTGAACTGAAATCAAATGTGATTTAGAAGTTGCTTAATGTTAAATAATTGAAATAATTTAATAATTCCCATTGTAACATCGTGCAATGGTAGTTCAGTGGTAGAATACTGGCCAACCACGCTAATTGCCCGGGATTCAACCTCCGTCTGGCGCACTCCTTCACCTTGCTTAGCCGGTACTATACCAGGCAAAGAGGGAAGGTTTCGGGGTAGGGCTAACGACACTAACCTGTAAAAAAAAAGCACCACCGCCACTGGAACTTCAAAGCTCCAGCTTGAACCCCTATGTCCCACTGGAAAATAAAAGGAATAAAGAAAACTGTAAAGTTAAGGACACGATATTCAGTGAAGAGACTCTTTTCTACGAATTTAGTATCAAGCTGTACACTCACAGAAGTATGTTTTTTTTAACAAACTAAGTCCCATAGGAATATTTAAACGAAGATGTCACTAGAAGATCTCAATTTTGAATTCCAGTGTGTAAGTAATGCCAATGAGTCACAAACTATGGCGTAAGGTATAAACAGTTTAAAATAATAATGGGAAATGCGATTTAAATATCTGTAATAAGGCGAATAATAATCCATACTTCGTAGAATGTACAGATTTTGGAAAGGGGAGTAAAAAATTAACAGGGTAAATATGAAGAGTATGCAATCAAAACACTATCTAACATAATGAGAAGTTAGATAAGATAGGATTTAAAAATGCAAAGAAATTAGTATACAATTGGTGGATGGTGGCTAGCAGTGGAATCCAGGATGCGCATTTCGTCCTATTTGGGACTCGTCCGCCAGCTGGATGTACCTGCATTTCTCAGTGAGTGATGATGTTCCCACTGAGAAATGCAGGTACATCCAGCTGACGAATCTCAAATAGGACGAAATGTGCATCCTGGATTCCACTGCTAGCCACCATCCACCAATTGTATAGTAATTAAATACCCAGACATCGTCGAAGCATCTGCACAAGAAGCCGACATGTCAACCTGAGATCGAGCACTTCGGTCCAATCAATCGACGGGAAAATCGAAAATTCAATTCAATGCAAAGAAATTATTGATTTGAAACAATAAATAGGACAAGTGGAATATAATACTGGAAACTGTTCAGGGTGAGAATCACAATAATACCAATCAATAAGTTCCGAGTGGAACACAGGACTTCAACAACACATGTTCACTTTGTTCTGTTTTTCGCCGTCTTCTTCAGCTGGCTAGGTACACGATTGACCAAACTCTCTCAACTCTCTCACCACCACACGAGGTCTCCTACATGTCAGCCTCGCATTGACGACCAACTTGCCACTTTAAATTTGGATTCCACTCAAGCAATGGCCTGCATTGCATGGGATATCATTCGGCGGCCTCTTCAATGTATACCCGACCCATCTCCACTTTCTCCTATATATTTGTTGTGCTATCGAATCTTGTCTGTTGACTTGTTCCACTGCAGAGTTTCTTGTTCATTATCTCTGGCCATTTGATCTTCACTGTGGAGCGAAGGCAACTGTTGATGAAAGTCTGCAACAGGCTGCTGCAAAATCATTTTCGTGAAACGCTAAGTTTCTAAACCGTATAGAAGCATCGACTTCACATTGGTGTTTAAAATGCGAATCTTGCTGCTTATGCTGAGTAACAGTAGAGGATTTCTAAAATTGTTTTCAGACTGATGAAGGTGTATCTTGCCTTTCCCATTCTGACTTTGACATCTTCATCTGTTCCGACTACCTGTAGTTGAAACGATGCTTCCTAGCCAGATAAGTGAAGAGGGTAACCTCTGTTAAATCTCTCCCCTTGATGATGGTGATTGTTGCTGGTTGTTGTTGTTGCTGTTGACTGATTATCTTCATCACCTCCGTCTTCTCTATATTCACCTGGAGTGTCCTCTCTTCGTTGCCTGCTTCTTCAGCCGGTTTGTTGATTTCCTCCTGCAAGTCTTCGAGTTTGTGTGTGAAATTAGACGCATATCAACCCGACGTGAGATCCAGATTTTCTAGAGTCTTCTTATTGGCAGTCCAGCGTATTTCTGACTCCTCTTCCCCAAACGTCTGACGCGTAATCCAGTCCACCACAACCAAGAATATCATCGGCGATAATAGGCAGCCTTTTCTTACTCTTGTATTCACTTCGAACGCCTCGTTGAGTTTTCTGTTGTGGATCACCTGACACGTGGAATTGTCATCTAGCCAGCTGTTGAATGAGGTTGAAAAAGACTTGAGGTACGCCGTAGTTTTGAAGTAATTTTCAAATTACTTTTCGGTCGATGCTGTCTATTGAAGGCCTTTCCGAACTTGAAGAAGTTGAGGCATCGGTTTGACCATTATTCTATGCTTTGTTTTGCGATGACGATGCGTAGAGTTACAATTTGATCAGTACGCGACTTGCCTTTCCTGAATCCAGCTTGTTAGTTAGTTTGAATTTGATGGGTGGTCTTAAAATCATCTCCCGGGTGGGTTGGATAACAGAAGTCTGTGAAGTGTACTAGAATTATGAGCTTCTCACACATTTTTCCTTTCTCCTTTGTAAAACCATGCTGGAGTGTGTTCTTGTATACGTCTGCAAAGCATTTCATGACTACAGAAGATGTACCTTGCTCTACAAGAGCAGGTAAACTGTTAGGTGTATATGGAAGCGGCCAGACGACAGAGCCTATATTTTACAGAGAAGGAGAACAACTTATGGTTGGCGAAGGTCATTTGTAATTTTGAAACAAAGAAAGTCTTACTGATCGATTTAGAAAGATGGATTTTGAGCGTATCTGAAGCCTGGTCACATTTGAATTGCAAATTCATGAAGACAGTTTTCTTTGGTTGTGAGTCAGTGACCGGTTTGGATTTCTTAACTTTTTCCTGTCTTTTCGATGTCTCACTTAAGGTAACCATTTTTTCCAAGCTTGGCTTTTAAGGAAGAAAGTTTTGCATAAATACTTCAACAAATCTCAGGGCAAAATCCTACCTTTCACTCCGACTCTACGTCTCGGCCTAAGAAGTCATAAAATTAACCCCGTCTTTCAGAATTAGTTACACCTGCAAGCATTGTAATACTTGGTTAGTTTTCATATTAGGCTAGCTGAAAAAAATACCGAATACTAGAAATCGTGTGTTATCGGAAGACTTACTGAAACTATTTGCCATTCAACACACACTCGTACACATTCAAACACTATCCCTTCTTTAAAATCTAGAACCTTCATGATCTTCTGATAATCAAACTGATTTTAAATCACCGAAAATACCCATTGAGTCATGAGGGAAATAAAAGACAGATTCAGCGAATAAAATTTTCTTTATCGATGAAATCATCTTCAGAGGCTGTAGAGTTCAACAGCTGCCATCATGCCATGAAGTTCACGTTAGAATCAGAGATTAACTCGGAACTCCATTTTTTGGACGTTTTTCTAAAGAGGAGATCTTATGGTTCTCTTCAAAGATTGATCTACAGAAAACCAACATGGAATGGTCAGTACACAAATTTCCATAGATGGGTCCCTTTCTAGAAGAAAGAAAAATTTGATTCATTCCCTATCCTCAAGAATAAGGAGGATATTTTCCAGTGATACTCTTAAGTCTGTGTGGAGGTCAACAGCACTCACCATCAAAAATAAGATCCAGATTTTCAACTCCAATGTGAAGCCAGTGCCACTCACTATACGGATCAGAGACCTGGCGCGTCATAAAGAGCACCTCAAACAAACTACAGATTACCAACAGCTGTCTTCGCTCAATACTTCTCAAGATCAGATGGCTGGCCAGAAAAGATCAGAAACAGGGATCTCTAGCACTAAGAGAACCAACCAGGAACCTATTGTGCCACGAATATGCAGGAAGAAATGGAGATGGATTGTCCATACTCTGAGGAAACCATCAAGTGATATCACCAGACATGCCATCACTCGAGTGGAACCCGAAAGGGAAGCGGCGAGTTGGTCATCAGCGTGAAGGTGACTTGGAGGAGATCATGTAAAGAGGAGATGAAAGCATGTGGTCAAACTTGGAGCGGGGCGAAAACATTGGCAGAAAACTGAAGGCAATTGAGACGCGCGGCTGAAGCCCTATGTTCCTCTAGGAATTAAAGGCTATAATAATAATGTTCCAGTGATACAATAGATGGGGAATTGGGGCAGTTCAAACAAGTTCTCATAGAGAATGGATATCCTCCAAGATTTATGGAGAAAAACATGAATTTAAGGGAAAAGCCTGAAAGAATCCAGACGGTGACGAAGAAACTGCTCTTTATGAGTGTTGAATTTAAAGGAGATACCGCAGCCGAGATCCTGAATAATCGCTGCTTATGCAGATCACTGAGGAAAGCCTTCTTTATACCTGAGCTACGTATCAATTTCTACAGCTGACAAATGATCAACGGATGTGTGGAGGATAAATTGCCGCTTTGAGCCACCTCAATGTTTGTGTGTGATTTTAATGGCTCAAAAACTAACACTGCTAAACTCAAACTAAACTAATTAACTTATCGACGATGCTCTGTAATACCTCTTATTGACCGACAACTTTTGCTGAATCTGTCAGTTTACAAAATCGATGATTTTGATGGATTATACCGCTGTATCCTTCCAAAGAACTTTAAATTATCAGATTTAATACTTTATTTTATATAATAATGAATTATTTTCTAAATATGTAAATTTAAAATTATATAATGACCAAAGAAAATGATAAAAACCACTTGATAAAATATCGAACAACAGTATTTCACTTAGTATGTAATATGAACTGACAACAAATATCCGCATGTCATTATAATTCTATCAAAAACAGAAAAAACTTTGAGTAAAGCTTATTAAGACGCGCTTATCCGATGAAATGAGTTATCGATGGTAAATGAATTCGCTTCTAACTGAATAACAATTCATTTCTGATTAGTTTTCTGTTCATAAATCATAATGAGAAGATGTGATCGGTGAAACCAATCAAGTGTTTTACAAATTACCTCTTGAAGATTAATCTGATGCTCAACTAATCACTGGCCACAAGACGTCAGTTGCCTGGAGTCCTAGTGAGAAGTGGCCTGTAGAGTCAATCAGGTCCCACGTGTGAACAAATACTCGCCGATGACACTGACTTGTAGTTGCGCTAAAATCGCAAACTGGTAAAAGTTGAAATTCTTGGGCCACTAGATCGAGTCCCAGGGGATGAATGGTCTAAGAGATCGCCATGTAACCGAAACTTCCTGGGTTCAACCTCTAGTGGATGTGTGTTGCTGAAGAGTCATAGACTAGGAGGAAACAGCTATCCAAAAAACCGATAAACTTGGTGGTGAGGACAGCCATTTCATAAAAATCTTGATTAATGACTGCGGTATCTAATGAACCACCTTGTATTGGGTAAGTGCAGCCTATGGTTGGGATCCGAGATGGTATCATAGTTGAGTAATGAGTAATCTTTCCCAACCATGGAGCTAACTAGTTTTATTTCACGAAAACAACTACATTAAACAAAAATGACACTCGGTGTTTTTCAAACTTGTTAGACATTCAATAAAACAAAGTCGTATGCTTGACTGTTTGTCAGCATCACTGTGATGTTTTGATTGCTGCATTGTAATGTAAGTGAAATCCTCCATGTGGGTTTGTCCATTTTGGAACGACAAAGCTTTTAAAACTTTTTTCCAAAGCAAATAGGTTGTATGAATAAATAACTATAACTCTTCGCTAAACCGATCAGCCTAATTTACTCCCTTCCCTGTGTGTAAATAACATTTCCATTGTAGATTCTTTCTGAATGTGATGAAGATGGATTCTACCTTGGTGAATGTAACGGTCTACGAGGATTAGTTCCATCTAACATGGTGTCAGAATTAGAAGGTGATCTGTCAAGAGTACAAAAATACAACCATTCTCTTGATCCTCGTACAAATCTGACAGAATCAAATTTTATCCCATCTGGTCAAATGAGTAAAACACGTTCAGTGGATATTCCATCACAAGGTCAAGGCCAAGGACAAGTCAACGCATCTAGTAAGAACTATTACATGAGTAGAACACATGATCGGATGATTCCACAAACTCATTCTGCACCAAGGAATGTAAGTATGAGTGTGTAAATATTATATTTTGATGTATGCTTTGATTATTCCAATTATTATTATTTCCTTTAATTCCTAGAGGAACATAGGGCTTCAGCCGCGCGTTTCCATCGCGTTCAGTTCTCTGCTAACGTTTTCACCTGGCTCCAAGTCTTCCCCTCATACTTTCATCTCCTCTTCACATGATCTCCTCCAAGTCACCTTCACGCTGATGACCAACTCGCCGCTTCCCTTTCGGGTTCCACTCGAGCGACGGCCTGGCTTGTGATATCACTTGATGGTTTCTTCAGAGTATGGCCAATCCATCTCCATTTCTTCCTGCCTATTTGTCTCAAAATCGGTTCCTGGTTGGTTCTCTTAGTGCTAGAGATCCCTGTTTCTGATCTTTTCTGGCCAGCCATCTGATCTTGAGAAGTATTGAGCGAAGACAGCTGTTGATGAAGGTCTTTAGTTTGTTTGGGGTCTTCTCAATGACGCTCCAAATCTGTGATCCCAAAAGTAGCACTGGCTTCACATTGGAGTTGAAAATCCGGATCTTATTTTAAATGCTGAGTGCTGTTGACCTCCACACAGACTTGAGAGTAATGAAAGCTTGTCTTGCTTTTCCGACTCTTGCTTTGATATCCTCGTCAGTTCTGCCCGCCTGTAGTTGAAACGATGCTTCCCACGTAGGTCGGTATGTGAAGGAGGTTGCTTCTTTGAGATTTCTCCCATTTATGCTGGCCGATTGTTGTTGTTGCTGTGGCTGTTGGTGTTGGCCAGGAATCTTCATCAACTCCGTTTTATCTATGTTCACCTGAAGGCCTATATTCTCCGGATGCTACTTCTTCCAACTTGTTGCTTTTCACTTGCATATCTTCCAGTTTATGGGAAATCAGACATATGTCATCATCGGCAAAGTCCAGATCCTGCAAGTCTTTTGTGTCAGTCCATTTTACGCCTATTTCCTCGCTGCCCGCCGCTGTCTGCCGCAATATCCAATCAACGGCAACCAGGATAATCATTGGAGATAGTAGGCAACCTTGCCTCACTCCCGTCCTCACTTCGAAGGATTTCGTAAGTTTCCCATTGTGGATTACTTGGCATGCAGATTGTCGTACACATGTTGGATGAGATGTATAATTGTCGGCGGCACCCCGTAGTAGCGAAGTAGTTGCCAAATCACCCTCGATCGACGCTGCCGAATGCCTTTTCAAAGTCGATGAATTTGAGATAGGGAGGTGACTGTCCTTCCAAACTCTGTTCGATGATGGTCCGTAGTGTGGCGATTTGATCAATACATGACTTGTTTCTCCTGAATCCAGCCTGTTCCGGTCGAATTTCCTCATCCAGGATGGTTTGTTTGATTCTCTCCAGGATGATACGGCTTAGTATTTTGCTTGGGATGAACAGATACAGTTGGCAAAAATGATACCAAAATCATAGACTCACTGATTTGAGCCAACTTGAACATGTAAATCCAGTAATATTTACAATTATAAATATTAGTTAGTATTAGACAGTCCCAAAATGGCAAGCAGATAGTTATAGGTATTATCGGTCATCAAGATTATATCCACAGAGAGATTCAGTGTTCGAAAGGTAAATAATTACAATGGTTTCCGCTAATTCTTGGCAAGAAACTCCACAGAAACAAGAGTTTTATGTAGCTACGTGAATGCAGCGTGTTAATCCAATACTGCCCTGTTATTGTTACTTCTATGAGTAGTAGCATTATTTGAAGAACACAGTGGTATTTGGAAGCAGAATGTTTATTTGATCAAATGATGTACAGCTATAAACCTTGCTTTGAAGTCTCTATTTACAGATGTTCTTCATTTTGTGCTCCCTTTACCTTCCTTTCATGCTTTCTACATTGTTTCCCTAGGATCTTTCATTTCTTCCTTTTGCAATTTAATCTGCCTTTCTGTCATTCAATATTCTTGCAAAAGACAATACACACACAATATACTACTTACGAAATTTTGTCAGTAGTACAGGCCACATCTAGAAAGTTTCAAACAAGGCCGCTTCAACCTTCTTGCTGCCAGTAACAACAGTGCTATTCATTCCTTGCGTTCCCAGGAAAACATACGCGCCCACTTGTTTGCCATCACTTTTATTTGATTTCATGACTGTTCACTCAATTTCATTTCTCCTAAACACCATCGTCTGTCTATCACCCTCTGACATCCAGCTCATTACTTCTCACTGCAGTTCTACTCTACGGCATAGCTTGTGATGTCACCTGAAAATCTCTTCACCATATGTCCAATACATTTCCATTTCTCTCTGCATATTTGCTGGGTAATAGTTCACCACCAGAATTCTGAATTTCTTATCATTTCTCGCCGACCATTTAATCTCTATTATCAAAACTGTTAAGTCAGGTATTGACGAAAATCTACAGCACGCTACTGGTAATGATTTCCCTGAGGCATCAAATCTCTCGAGCATATAAAAGCACTGATTCAATTTACATTAGTGTCGAAAATCTCGTTGCTTATTATTATTTTAGTTCCCTTGGGTTCCTAGTGGAACATAGGGCTTCAACTGCACGTCTCTACCTGCTGCTGTCTTCCTTCTGCTGTACTTTTCACCTGTATCTATGTTAGTCCATACTCTCTCAACTCCTATCCACACGATCTCCTCCATGTCAACCTTACACTGAAGACACACTCGCCGCTTCCCTTTCGGCCTGGTTCCACTCGAGCAATGGCCTGACGCACGCGCGATGTCACCCAGCGGCGGCCTCCCCAGCGAGTGTCCATCCAATCCATCTCCACTTTCTCCTGCATATTTGTTGGTTGGAGATTGGTTCTTGTTTTGTTTGTTTGTTTGTTCCCAGCCAGAGTTTCTTGTTGGTAATTCTTTCCGGCGTGGTCATCTGATCTTCAGTATAGATCCAGCAAAGACAGTTGTTGGTTGATAAAGGTCTGCAACAGGCAGTTGGTGGAAATATTCTTTGTGACCCCCCCACCCGCCAACTTTCTGATCCGAACTGACGGAGGAACTGACTGACTTGACGTTTGTATTGAAAATCCGACCGAATTTTGTTGTTGATGCTGGCTGAGTGACGAAGATTGGTTTCCAGATTGGTTTCAGTTAGTTGATGAATGTGTTTCTCGCCTTCCCGATTCTCGCTCGATTTGACATCCTCGTCCGTTCCGACTGTCTGTAGTTGAGACAATGCTCCCTAGATAAGTGAGTGAATGAAGCAACCTCTTTCAAATCCCTCTCGTTGATGGTGATTGGTACTGGATGTTGCTGCTGTTGTTTTTGTTGTTGTTGTTTTCGGCTGTTTATTTTCATCACCTCCGTCTTGTCTATGTTCACTTGGAGTCCTGTCTTCGCCGGCTGCTTCTTTGACCAGTTTGTCGGTTTTCGACTGTAAGTCTTCGATTGTGTGACAGTGACATCAAACATAAATCATCCACGCGCGAAATCCAGGTCTTCTAGGTTCTTCACGTCGGTCGGTCCAGGATATTCCTCCCTGTCTTCTCGTTTCCCACCCACTGTCTGACGCACAATCCAGTCCACCACAATTAGGAATATCATTGGTGATAATAGATAGGCACCCTTGTCTGACTCCTGTGTTTACTGCAAACGACTCGCTGAGTTTTCTGTTGTGGATTACTTTTCTTGTGCCGTTGTAGTACAGCTGTTGAATAAGGTGGAGTAGATTTTCACATGGATTTCAGAAATAATGGTTTATCTTGCTTTCCCGGTCCTGACTCGCTTTCACATCCTCATCAGCCTTTTGTTGAAACAATGCCACCTTTATATAGGTGAAAGAAGTGTCTCCGCTTAAATCCCTCTCGTCTATGGTGAGTGGTATCTGTTAGTGTTGTTGCCGGCTAGATGTCTTCATCACCTATGTCTTTTCGATGTTCACTCGAAGTCCTGTTCTGGCTGTCAGCATCTTCTAACGACTCGTCAGTTTTCCTCTGTAAGATCTTGGAGTTTTGCATGAAATCAGGTATAAATGACTCCTGAAGTCCAGATCTTTCTAGAATATTCTTGTCAATCAAATTTATGCCCATCTTATCGCTACACAACGGTTTCTAACATCATCCAGTTGACAAGAACTAGGGAAAAGCCATCAACGATGACTCTCTGCAAAGTATGATCATTTTTCTTTCTTGACTTCCCATCACAATGATTAGCTTTCTATTACTTAGCATTATTTCACTTTGTTGTGTGTGGAAATTAAATCAGATCATAAAATCACTTGGCCATCATTCAGTACTTACCTTTCTTAGTTAATGTAATCTGAATGAACAGTATTCACTAATTTATGAATGATGAATCTATTTTCACAGATATCAAATATCATCATATGAAACAATCAGCAATAAACAAAGAGGCTGTCAACTGCGTGAAGAATACTATCATGCAACAATCAACCTTCTTGTTGTCCAATTATGTATAACTCTTATATTTATATGTATATATATTATATGCGTTATTTCTCGAAAACATCCTTTACTTCTGTGTTGGTAGTAAGCAAATTGCCAATTTCTAGAATCCTTTTTTGCTCTGCTCTGCTTTGTTTTGTTTTGTTCTGCTCTGCTTTGACGTTTTGTTACAAACTATTAGGCTCTACTCATTACTCAACTTACTGGTGGATGTTTTTCTAGTGTTTGCTTAAGTTAAACAAAACAAAGCCTGTTCTCTGTGTGACAAAATAGTTTGAGAATTAGGGATATGCCTTTTTTTCGGAGTTAGAGTTGTCATTCTCTTGTAGAAGATGATAGAAAAAGATTGTTCTTGGGTGAGATGAACTAATAATGCCTTCGGAGTGGAAGATTACCACCATTTGCTACCATCTGTGCTACGATACCAAGATATGCTGAAATTCAATCTGAAATGTACAGAAACAGAACACTAACACGTGTGTGTCAGTATGGTTACTTCCTTACCAATGAAAAACAAATGCAAACCTTGATGGAAATTATAGTTCCTTGTTTCCTTTAGTTCCTAGAGGAAATAAGGGCTGCAGCTTCATGTTTTCATTGCGTTCGATTCTCTGCTAACGTTTTCATCTGGCTCCACTTCTGGCCACATGCTTTCATCTCCTCTTCACATCACCTCCTCCTCCATGTCACCTTCACACTGATGGCCAACTCGCCGCTTCCCACTCGGGTTCCACTCGAAAAATGGCCAGGGGGTGTGATGTCACTTGATGGTTTCTTTTCTCAGAGTGTGGCCTCCACTCCACCTCCATTTCTTCCTGCATATTTGTTGCACTATCGGTTCCTGGTGGGTTAGTTCGCTCCTAGAGATCCCTGCTGTTGATCTTTTCTGGCCGGCCATCTGATCTTGAGTAGTACTGAGATAATACAGTTGTGTTATGAAAGTCTGTAGTTTGTTCGAAGTGATCTTCATGACGTGTCAAGTCTCCGATCCATATAGTAAGTAGCACATTGGAGTTTATCTTATTTTGGAACTTATGGTGGTGAGAACATCATCACACACTGGGGAATGTAGGCACATTCAGGTGACGAGTCCCAAACAGGACGAAATGCACATCCTGGATTCCACTGCTAGTCACCATGCGCCAATTAACTTTGAAAAGGAAGCATTTGGTTTTCATACCCACCGACAATTAAAAAAATGGTGATGAAACCGAAATTGAGATTATTACAAATCGCTACAAAACTCACAGCTGACTGCTGGCCCCTGGATTAAGATCATAAAGTTGTAATCACAAGTCGTAGCCAGTGGGGGCCACCAAGTTAAGGCAGAGTAGATGCTCATTGATTATACTGTTTGACTGCAGCGCTACATCACGAATTGACAGTGCCGGAGTTCGCCGGTCACTGAAATCCAATCCAGTTGGATAAATTGTCAACGAGCTTGGCCTTGTAACTTGAAAGTCCCAGATTTGATCCGTATTAAGCTCATGAGTGTGCACTGTTCGAGAGTCCGAAATTAGAATGAAACAGGTATTCGGCTCTCCCTGGAATTTTGCGATTCTCTGACGGATGTCGGTTAGTAACAGAATTTGCTCTGAAATTAATTCAAATCTCGACAAAACCCATTATCTAATTAAAAATGGGTAGTTTTTGATTTGACACTAGTGACTAGTGTGATGTGTCTAGTCCTCTCATTGGTGCAGACTGAATTCTATCAGGCTTTCTGCCGATTGCCTCCAACCATCTAATATCCATAAATCAATGTGCACCGTGATGGCGAGTCACCTAGAATGGTGGCTACATTGCAAACCTGACTGATAGAATTCAGTCTGCACCAAAGAAAGGACTAGACACATCACACTAGTTACTAATGTCAAATCAAAATAACCACTACAGTCCTACAGAACTTCAATCGCGAGCCCGAATAGCTCAGTGGTAACGTCTCTGACTCCGGCGCTCACTGGGTGACGCGGGTTCGAATCTCAGAAGGGACATGCATTCCTTCATGGTTGCAGATACGCCTTGCTGACTGGTGAGTACCAGCTAACACGAAACCTAGGTGGTGTTCAAGGCTTCTCGTGGCCGATTGCCCCCAACCATCTAATACCACCAAAAATGGTTAGTCTTTTGAAATCAGACTATTTAGAATGAGTTAAGACTTACATCTCACAGGTTTGTGGTCATATACGTTAATAAGGCTCTTCACTTCGTGAATACTTCTACCAAATGCGTAGTATCAAAACAATATGCATTATGGTGATTAGTTTACTGGGTGGATGGTCACTTCAAAAGGTTTATTGATGAATTACGCTTTATACCGAGGATTATACTAAATGACTGAGTACCTTGATATGATTATGAGCAATAAATTGTGCTCGAAACGTCATCAGTAGATATAACTGTAAAATGCTGTGTGATTTTATCAAAATAAAATGTGCTTCCATAATGAAACCGCTGACCAGTAATCCGAAAATATTCTATATTAGTGTGACCTTGAGCCAGGAAATATGTCATGCAGCCTCGATCAAGAATTCAGACACATGATATGCGGATATGAATTTTTTTTACTCCATCACGTTCCCAGTGGGACACAGGGCTTCAAACTAGAGGCTTGAAGTTTCTGTAGCAGTGTTTATTTTTTACAGGATGGGGTTGCTAGCCTCATGCCCGACTTTTCCTCTTTACCAGTTTCTTATTTCTGGCTCAGCGAGGTAGAGGAGTGTGTAGGTGGCCGGGGATCGAACCCAGACCATATGCATGGTTGGTGTGCGTCCTAACCGCTATGCCACCGACGCACGGATATGAATTATGCAAACATATGCATATTCACATTATCAGCTTATCAATTCTAACTGAAGAAGGGGAAAGACTGAGGAGAACAGATCTAATGTTGAACCTTACATTGATTTTACTCTTTAAAAATAAAGCATATCATGCGCTGGTCACAGTGATACGCATCATCGTCATCGAACACAGCGTAGAATGGCAGTCAAATCTCCACTTTAACAGCATCGACTTTGAGAATGCCTTCGATATCGTCTACCCTGGAGAAATTTGGAGACTACTGCAATATAACAGTGTCCTGAACCCTCATTAATCTTATTCAACAGTCATATGTCAAGTGACTCACAACAGAAAATTCCACAATCACTTTGAAGTGAAATGAGGGATAAGAAACGACCGCCTACTAACAGCGATGATATTCTTGACTATAGAGGACAGGATACTGGTACAAAAAGAAAATAATATCATAGACAGGACTCCAAGTGAACATAGACAAGACGGAGGTGATGAAAATAAACAGCCGAAAACAACAACAACAACAGCAGCAACATCCAGCACCAATCACCATCAACGAGAGGGATTTGAAAGAGGTTGCTTCATTCACTTCACTTATCTAGGGAGCATTGTCTCAACTACAGACAGTCGGAACGAACGGGGATGTCGAATCGAGCGAGAATCGGGAAGGCGAGAGAGAAACACATTCATCCATCAACCTGAAACCAATCTGAAAACCAATCTTCGTCACTCAGCCAGCATCAACAACAAAATTCGGTCGGATTTTCAATACAAACGTCAAGTCAGTTCTTCTATACGGATCAGAAACTTGGCGGGTCACAAAGAATATTTCCAAAAGGCTGCAGACCTTTACTAACAACTGTCTTCGCTGGATCTATACTGAAGATGAGATGGCCGGGCCAGAAAGAATCACCAACAAGAAACTCTGGCTGGGATCAAACGAAACAAGAACCAATCGCCAACCAACAAATATGCAGGAGAAAGTGGAGATGGATTGGATGGACACTCGCTGAGGAGGCCGCCGCTGGGTGACATCGCGCGTCAGCGTCAGGCCATTGCTCGAGTGGAACCAAGCTGAAAGGGAAGCGGCGAGTGGGGGACGTCAGTGTAAGGTTGACATGGAGGAGATCGTGTGGATAGGAGTTGAGAGAGTATGGACTAACATGGATACAGGTGAAAAGTACAGCAGAAGGAAGACAGAAGCAGGTAGAGACGTGCAGTTGAAGCCCTATGTTCCACTAGGAACCTAAGGGAACACTGACAATAACAATATCCTTTTATAAGTATTACACACCATAATGCTACAAATAATTCACCGTGATTGATTTTGATTCTGCTTTCTTTGTATTATGAATCCATAGTTGGACATGGTGAATGAGCATACATTCCATCCAAGCGCAACATTACCCAATTATTCTGAAGTCAAAGATATCTATCCAGATGAAATGACAGCAATGGATAGTAATCTTCAATCACAACAGGCTCAATCGAAATACACCGATTCTATGCATACACCACGTGAGTTATAATACATTATTTCCTCATAATCTTCAATGAACAATGTTCATATTTATTTGTTCGTTTGTTTGTTCCGTCCATCTAGGTACACTACAGAATAAACCATTGGAAAAAGTTAAACATCCGCCAGATCAGGAAGCCAGAATTATGACTGCCATATATGATTATGATCCACATGTATTAAGTCCAAATGCAGATATTGATGTAAGTTGGTACTTGTAAAGAGATAAATGTATCTACTTCTTCTCTTATTGATTTTGCAACTGTTATACCGCATGAAAACAGTCAATCAATATCTTGTCTAGTCTAAAATCGTTTTTCTTCCCACTACACTAGAATTTTAAAACAGAAAGGTTGTATTTTGTTCTACTAAAGTAAATACGCTAATAGGATGAGGGGGGTGTGGATTTTTTTTCTAATTATTAATGTTTTATAGTATAATACTGTTACTGTTATTCTCTTGGGTTTCGAGTGGAACACACCGAGGTCTCTTTTAGCTAGCTCCACAACTGCTAACACAGACTTACATTTCCTCTCCACACGGTCTGCTCTTTGCCAGCCTAGACAGTCAAACTGTTTGCTTCCCCATGAAGTTCTACCAGAGGACCTGCAGCGTGATGTAGCTCAACAATCTCCCTGGCAATGGTTCGACTTGTCTCCATTTTCTTCCGCATATTTACTGGATAGGTAACAGATGCTTGGCTTGTTCAACGTCTACTAAAGCCTCTTGTTTCTTGGTTAGTTCATTCGCGAAACTTTCTGTGTTGCTTATCCTTTCTGGGTTGCCATTTGATCCTTAGTCATCCCTGTCAATAATTCAGGCAACATTTTTCCAAAATGTAAACGCCAAGGATCAGATTGTCGAAAACAGAATCGGAAAAGCAAGATAAACATTCATTACTTTGAACACACCGCAAAAATCTGCTACACTTAACATAAGAGAATAAGATCCGAATTGCCAGTAGTAACTTGAAAACATTTTCCTATGTAGTTTAGCTACATCGCTTAGGCGTCATGAAAAGTACTTCCAACAGGTCTGTGAAGAAGAATTTCATCAATAGTTACCAGTTTCACTCCGCAATAACGATCAAATGACTGTCTAGAAAGGATTAACAACAAGGAATTATTATAGTAAATCAACGACGAATCTATTTCCTAACATATATTCCAAGAAGACTGATGAATGATATCTCGCGCCAGGCCCTCGAGTGAAATCTGATTTGATAGAAACAAGCTGCACAGTTGTTTGAGGGTGATATGCAGGTAAGACAACTTATGTTGGTGGTCGCACAGCCAGTTGCAAAAGATTGTAGAGAACAGGAGGAAGTGGCGATACGTTGCTGAAGCCTTATGCTCCACTGGGAACTCCGAAGAATAATAATGATGATAGCATTGTTAATGATGATAAATATGGCAACCAATTTAACCTTACCAAATTGAATTCCACATGGATGCAATAACACCCAAAGAAGCATGAAAAATAAGTGAACACCTCCCTGCTGATCGATTCCTCTCGTGTCAATTAAAGTCGGAATCTTTTCAGGATAATAGAAGAGACAAAAGCCTCGCACTTAGTGCATTATTGCTGCCTTGTATTGAAACTAAGTTCCATGCAACACAGTGAATATTTTTCTCTCATTCTCACTTATGTTATTTAGATTGCATGTGACGATTAGCTGATAGTGAGCCAATCAATTTACCTGTTAATCTAAACAGTTCTGATTTAGCGTAAGATATCGCTTGATATCTTTTTCGCAGTTATACTGCATTCATTCCACGTATTCACCAAAACGAAACCGATCAGTGCATTAATGACTAGAATTTACAGAATAATATCAAGTTTTTAAGTTAGACCACAGGTTGATATCAGTTAGAGAACCATTGAAAACCATCTAGGGAGTACTGGACAGCTGCTGTCTCATCCTGGTCTGGGACTCGTCGGCAGTACCCAAAAATAAACGGGGTTCAAACCCAAGACCTTCCGGTTACAAGGCAAGCTGTCTCGTATACTATTCAGACACTGGGACCTAACTCCGAAATGAATTGTAACTTCTAGTAATTCTTGATTTTTTCGGTGCGACCACCAACCAATGTCATCGGCGTGAAATCCATTCTTACCCCCCAATTGGATGGACCTCATTCTTTACGATTTATCACTAGAATTCCAGGAAACTGCGTCCTGTAGCATGTCACTAGCGAGCATCAATTGTATCAAGTTTGCCTAAATTTATATGAAAAAATAAATAAAGAAGTGTGTTTGAATTTGTTTGTTTTTTTGCGAATTAAATCAGATTCGGTTGAGATGCATTCCTAATTGTTGACTTATCTAATGTTGAGGAGATGATTGAGAGCTGTCACTGTCCTTGTAAATGACAAAGATATTAACAAACATATGGATGTATGGTTACCAAGGGGAAGGAAGTGTCCAAAATTTAAGCTGTTGTCAAATTTTGAAATGTCTTTGACATATTTTTTGACAATAATAATAATAATGATCAACAAACACGTTATACGAGGCTAATGAGTAGATTGACTGACAGTATTTAACTAGTATTAAAAGGATATAAGTGTAATCCTGAGATGAGTTTGTGTCAACCCAAACTAAATGGGAAGGCAGAGAAGTTGTTTTCCTTCGATTTCGTCAAAACATTTCCTCATATCTCCTTAGATATTTTAGACATATTTGCTACCAATATTATTTGATAGATTGCTCATTCAACTACGTATTTTGTTACAGGATTTCACCATGAGCTGACATCAGTTAGAGAACCACTGGAACCACCACCTGGGAGTACTGGGCAGCTGTTTCGTCCTAGTTTGGGACTCTTCATCAGTACACACCCACGGGGATTCGAACCCAGGACCTTCTGGTTACAAGGCGAGCACGTACACCATAAGGCCTAGGTTCGAATCCCGGTGAGTGCGTACTGCTGAAGAGTCCCAAACTAGGACGAAACAGCTGTCCAGTACTCCCAGATTTTCCAATGGTTCCCTAGCTGATATCAACTCATGATGAAATCCTGTAACCAATCAACTAAATCCCTATAAACCAATACTTGAATACGTATTTTGTTGTTGTTCTTGTTCCCTTGGGTTCGGAGTAGAACATAGTATTCAGCAACATATCCCTACTTGACTGTGTTTTCTGCAGTCTTTAGAAGCCGGCTCCTTGATTCCTCATAGACTTTCATTTCCATTTCATACGATCTCCTGCGTGTCACTATTGGATGGCTGAATGATTGTTTTTTGATTCGGACTCCACTCGATGGTCTGGTGTTTGTCATCAGTCAATCGTCTTCTTAGAGTGTTTCCCACTCACGTCTGTTTTCTTCTATATATTATCTCCAATGATATTCCTAATTAAGCGTCATACTGTAGGAAGCGAGAAGACGGGAATACGTTGGATTGATTAAAAGACTCTATAAAATGTAGACTCCACGGATGGTTTATGTTTTATGTCACATAGACTCAAATACCTATAGAGGAAATCCAACAAAACTAGCAGAAGATGTGAGCAGTAAAGACAGGATCCCCGTGAATATAGAGAAGATGGAGGTAATGAAGGGAACCAACTAACAGAAACAATAACCAGCAGTAATCCAATATCAGCTGAAAAAATTTGAAAGAGCTAATTTCTTCGCCTATGTAGGCAACATCGTTCCAACTACAGGCAGTCGACACGGATGACGATGTCAAAACCGAAATCTGAAAGGCAAGGCAGGCGTTCATCAATCTGGAAGCAGTTTGGAAGTCTTCCCTTCTCCGAAGCCCAAACAATAGAATCTGGATTTCCAGCACCAATGTTAGGTCCGTTCTTCTAGATGGATCGGAAACTTGAAGCAGGCGTCACGAAAAGCATTTCGAAACACGTTTCAGTCTTTTATTAGCATCTACCGTCGCTGGCTCCATATTGAAGATCATATGACCATAGAGGATAAGCAGAAAAAACCTTCTGGGAATGAATTAACCAAGAACCTATCGCGAAGAAAATGGAGACGGAATACACACACTGACGAGTCCGTCAAACGACATCGAGAGCCGGCCTGTAGTTCGACTGGAACTCGAATGCAAATCAACTAGTTGGGCGTCTAAGGATAACATGGACGAGATCATACGAGGAGGAGACGAGAGATTGTGGGTAATCGTGGGGCTAGCAAAAGAGGTCCTCAGAAAACAGGACAAAGTAAAGATGTGTTCATCTGACTTCTTGTCGTTGCTGTCTCTTCTGGCAACTTGTTCGTTTCCGCCAACTATTCCGGTAATCATAAAATTTGTGTATGATAAATAAGTTACAAACAAATTTAATACCTGTAAAGGAGACAAGGCTACAGGGTGTAAATTAGAAGTTTGAAGGTAACTTAGCTAATCTAACTAAACTACCTCACGGCGTCAATGAATTTATTTGTTAATGTAGTTACGTTTCTTAGAACAGGAATTTACAGCACACTAGGCTACATAGTATGCGTGGTGTTACTATCTCCCCGTCCGAAATGAAGCCGGCCGGATGGGGTTCGAATTCATTCCGCATTAATTATACTTTCGCCCTTCTTCATGAACAGAGACAGTATAATGCCTACCAAATTGAATTTATGCTTAAAATGTTTGTTTATTCTGTTTTCTGGACATTTCAGGCTGAGCTGTCATTTAGGTCAGGTGAACAAATCACTGTCTTTGGTGATATGGATGACGATGGATTTTATTATGGTGAGACTAGAGATGGTCGTCGTGGTCTTGTGCCTTCAAATTTTTTACAATCTTGTACAAATGAAATAAGCTTTTCAAGTAAACCAAACAGTTCATCAGTCTTTCCACCATCACAAATGTCTTCTACAAATCCACGTGACCATGACAGGCAAAAAATGCAGACCAGCAGGATGGTTTCAAGTAGTCGAGACCAAGGCCATGGAAGTGAATATAATAATAGTCAGCCAGTAAGAATACAAAGTCAGTCGAATCCACCACCTTATCAAGGTTCTAATTACATTAGGAATACAAAGTTAGAGACAGTGGTGAGTAATTACAATAGGGCAGTAAAGATGGCTATTTTTTGTGGTTATTCTGCGTTTTTTCTATTCAAACTTAAATCAGCATTATAATCCGGTTCGATTCCCTGCCGACACGATCCTAAACCACGATTAACCGACAATAAACCTAGAGAAAGAGAGGAAAGATTCAGCATGAGGCTAGCAACCCTACCGCTTAGAAAGAACATTGGTACTTAAACTTTAAATCTTGAGGCTTAAAGCCTTAAAGTCCACTGAATACGCAAAGGAATGGAAGAAAATCAACACCTCCTAATGATGTCAGTCTTTGAACAAGGCAACTTTTAGAACAAGAAGCATGATAATCAACACTGCTTTTGGTAATATTATCTAGTTAGGATTGCCAAGGTAGGCTGAGAGTAACTCGCACGCATGATTTAGTTTTACGGGTGGCTATTTCCTCAAGATATTTTAGTATGTGTCTGTCACGGTTATTATAGATAATCTCGAAAGCTGTTTTGATATCAATTTTATGATTTAAATCATTTATGTTTTTTACGTCATATGAGGTGTTTATCGAGGTACTGGATTTGGGGTGTTTTTCAGGTCATTCAGGTATTTATCCTCACGCCCTCATGTGCAAGGTGTGATTACTCCTCCATATGAATGTGTGTCCACACACACACACACACACTCATGTAAATTGAAATACAGTTCGGGACTCGATGCAATCACCTGTGGAATTTTGAGCCTTGTAGTAGAGAATGCTTTTGACTTTTCCATAATTAAAAACAGAGCTAAACCGGTTCAACAACTTCATCGAACATCCGCTTTCGATAAATCCATCTGTCGATATTTTATTTTCATCTATAGTATCAGCTCAAAGACAAACTGTTAATTTCTTCCAAATGATGCTTATTTCGTCTGTAGACGCGGAGATTATGTCTTTCTCTTGAATGGCTTTTCAACTCTAACTCAAAGACTATCAGCATAATATAACCTAAATTCTAAACTAGACAACAACAATTACTGGAATATTCTCTAACGCCAAAACTTTACTAGGCTAAAGGATAAAGGTGATGTTCCAGGCGACTAGCGATTCCACTGCTGAAATCCAATCCATTTTACACCGATTTAAGTTACCTTAATCAAAATACTCTATTACATTCTCAGGGAAGGTGACCCACTTAAATCATTGAGCTACCTAATGTTCTACCCGGCATAAAAAGTTAAATTTACTCAGTTACACTTTGTTTTAACCTTCCTATTTACGTCCATGCAGAACATGCTGCACACATGCGTATGTTTGACATATCGCCTCATCTTTGATTGGACCCTAGTGAGTAACTAGAGTAACATGTCTAGTCTTCCGTTTAGTGTAGGCAGAATTCTATCACTCAAGTTTGCAGTGTGGCCAACATTCTAGGTGGCTCGCTGTCACGGTGCACTTTGAATTGTTGATATTAAGTGGTTTGAGATAATCGACAGGAAGCCTTGACACTCAACAGTCAGCGAGGCAACCTTTAAAGAATTCAGACCCTATCAAGGTTGCAGATGCGCCTTGTTAACCGGTGAGTGGCAACTAGCGTGAAGCCCAGATTCGAGGTTTCCTGCAGATCGCCTCCAACCATCTAATACCAACAATTGACAGTGCACCATAATGGCGAGCCACCTAGCATGGTGACCACATTGCAAGCTTGACTGATAGAATGCAGTCTGCACCGAAGATAGGACTAGACACTAGTTACTGACTAGTGTGCAATCAATAATATCCAATACAGTCCTACAAGAGGTCAATCGCAGCCTGAATAGCTCAGTGGTAACGTCTCTGACTGCAGCGCTCACTGAGTGACGCGGCTTCGAATCTCAGAAGGGACATGCGTCCCTTCAAGGTTGCAGATATGCCTTGCTGACTGGTGAGTGGCAATTAGCACGAAACCTAGGTGGTTTTCAAGGCTTCTCGTGGCCGATTGCTTCCAACCTTCAGATATCGCTTTATCTCTTTTGAAGAGGCGAATGCATCGGGAGTCACAGTATATTGCAGACTGAACAATATCCTTTCGAATGATCTACTAAAGATCATTGCTTTACTTCAACATTATATATGAGAAGTAGTTAAAGCCAAGCTTAAAACTCTTAATAATAATAATAGTAATTTTTCCTTCAAGTTCCCCTGTGGAACACAGGGCTTCAAGCTAGTGGCTTGAAGTTTCTGTAGCAGTGTTTATTTTACAGGATGAGGTTGCTAGCCTCATGCCCATCCTTTCCTCTGCACCAGGATTATTCCTGGCTTAGAGAGGTAGAGGAGTGCGCCGGCCGGGAATCGATCCCTGGACTATGTGCATGGTCGGCGAGCGTCCTAACCGCTCTGCCACCGACGCACCTAAAACTCTATACTGTACATAAATATGCTCAAAATAAAGTTATTATTATCATAATTTTTACGTTAAAAGCCAGCGAGCGTAAATAAATATGGTTCATCTTACTGTATCACATTCACAGCATAAGGAAAAGTTGAAGCCATAAAAACTGAAGATATTAAATAATTTTTATGACTTCAAACTTGTTTAACCGTAGAAAAGAGATGTAAACAGCTTCGGTTAGGAGGTGGGATGCTCAGGATACTACGTATCTCCGACTGAAGAATGTTGGTGACAGTTCATGTGTATTGTGATCTTGGAGCTTTTGATAATCCTCACTAATGTTCATTTAACTACTCTTTCTTACGTATAATATCATTCACTTTACTCCAATAACACTTTTTTCTCTCTGCGTGTGTGTGTGTGTTTGCGCGGTAACTTGGTAGCTGACGCACTTTTATGCAAATTTCCAACTTTAGAATTTAAATTTACAATTCTCAAATAAATTTTCTATTTACATAGTTCAAGGTGAAAATTTCACAAATCGATTTCCTTTTTGGGAACCAAAACTGTTCAGGCCACAGGATGTGATCTGCTTGATACCATAAATGGTAATTAACAAAGCAAGCATAAATGCATAAGACTGTATACTACTCTTTAATTAGTAATAAGTAGTATCATTCCCCTCACATCAACCAGTAGTACTTGCCAGATAGATCGAAGTCATCGCAATACCGTACGGCTGTTTCGCTTGTTTCGAGCAATGCTCATCATCAGTCTACTAAGTTTGACTAAGTTCAGAAAGCCTGATCAGTTGAAATACAGCCTGATTTCTCGCTACCTGCTTATGCGAACTGGTAATACCTTCGATCAAATTTTCAAAGGTTACACAGTTCAAGGCAGTGAAATTTCACCACAGTAGTTTCCTTACGGAAATGATCTTGCTGTTGTGAGTAGTATACAGCTGCTCAGCGTCATGCACCTGCTCTTGATTATTCACTTCGTTTTTTTTCGTATGTACAAGGGCAACACCAAGGAATTCCGTTATGGGTAAAATTTTGTTTTGATAAGGTCTCACAGTATTATATGCAGTAAGTAATATTTACTGATGACCACGTTTCGATAATAAATTATCACTGCTCATAATTCCAATATCAAGACATTACTCATACAACTTTCTAACTTCGTTTATATAATTCCATTATTTCAATTCATCTCTTGATTTGATCGTTAGTAGGATTTTCCATATTTCCGGTTTGAGTGATGAGTCATTCCTATTGCATGTGTCGGGTGTAGACTCGATGAACAAGGCAGGATACAGTAATCAACCTATGTCTCTCTCCACCTACCTAGATTACTCCTTAGAATTTTAACCCTCTCCCACTCACCATGCTACTGTGTGGTTGTGTGTTAATGCATGCAGTGCGATTGATGAGATTTTTCCCAAATTACTTATCTCCTCGGGGTCAACCATTCTTACCTTAGCCACTAAATTCTTATGTTCCGACAATCTGATTACCCCTGATCTACCAGTTCGACCTATATAATTGACCTCAATCACAATCATTGCAGGGTATTTTGTAAATTGTATTATTCTGTTTAATTGGGTCAGCAGGGTGGTTTAACCCACAAAGCTTGTCCCTGAGTGAGTTTGTAGGTTAAAATGCCACCCTAATTCCAGCTTTATTGAGAATCCTACTACGAAGGGCCTCAGATGTCCCCTCCTTATATAGTCTAACAGTGGATTACTTATATTCTCGCTTATTTATGTTACCATTAACATCAACACCTCTTCTATCTGTTTCATTTCATCGTTTAGGTTTTTTGTTATACTACTTAATGCTATTGCTCGGTTGGTCAGACGCTTGACTAAGCCAGCCTTTCCAGACAACGGTTGAGGTGAATTAAAGTCTAAATATTTATTAGCAGAATGCGTTGGCTTTGTATAAACACTAGTGTGTAGTTTGCCTTCTTCTATTCGTTTCATCTTACAATCTAACATCATAGCTAATTCTCCTTGTTCATTTTCCGATTCAAATGTGAATTTTATTCCCTCACTAGTGAGTTTATCTGCGTTAAGTATCTAGAGATATGTTCTGTTCTTAACACTGTGAAAGTGTCATCCCCATATCTCCACCATATTTTTGGAGTAGGAGTAAACGTATTAAGATCCATATATTCCCAGCTATCCATAAATATATCTGCTACAACAGGAGCAAAATAACATAATTTACAAAATACCCTGCAATGACTGAGATTAAGGTCAATTATACAGGTAGATTAGGAGTAATCAGATTGTCGGAACATAAGAATTCAGTGGCTAAGGTAAGAATGGTTGACCCCGAGGAGATAAGTAATTTAGGAAAAAGCTCAGAACTACACTGCGCTGCATGCATTAACACACAACCGCACAGTAGCATGGTGAGTGGGAGAGGGTTAAAATTCTAAGCAGTAATATAAGTAGGTAGAGAGAGACATAAAATCTTATCCATAATGAAACTATACTCTACCACAGTGCACAAGTTTTATTCATATATATCAATACCAAGGTATACTTACTTTTTAGCATTTGAGTAGTCTGTCTTCTTGCGCTTGCATCTCACTTCACTTGGACTAATTATCTAAGACAAGTGTATTTTTATAATATACAACTTTTCTCTTTTCAAA